AGACAAAGTATATGTGAACTGCTGTATGGAAAGTGAATTTGCTCTGTAAATCTTCACCCAAATCACAATTAAAAAAAAAGAAAAAGAAAAAGAAGAAGAGACTGCATTGTGTCTTCACAAGAAGAATGTAGAGCAAAGATAAGAATATAGGGTGAGGGCTAGTGCTGCCTTCTTCTGCCCTACAAATGGTGGGGCTTTCAGTGCAGGAACTGACACGTGCATCTTTCTGATTGTCTCTTGTCAATCTTTAACCATATGTCCAGGTTTTGTGGCAGTTTTGAACATGATTAAGGATCTAGTCAGATTAGGATCTGAAATAGACTAGGAATGAGTGTCAAGGAGAGGTAAGGGTCCAGACATAGAACAGAAGAGAGGAGCTAGAGCCTAAAAGATGCCCAGCAGGAAAGAATACTTACCAGATATTTCTGAATCTTCAACCAGAGTGTCTTGAACTCCACCAGTCCCAAGGTGCCTGTCTCATTGCTCTGGGCATGTTAAAGACCAACTTCTTAATATGTAGACCAATGTTTTCATGTGTAGTCCAAATTCTACATATTTAATGGATGTCCTTCTCTCATGATTCTGCATAGTGAGGCTTAAGGCCTTCGTGAGCTATCCATGTCTGCAATAAGCAGGGCAGTGTGTGATGGTTGGAAACATATCAAGTAAGGATTAAAAAATCAAACACTAACTAAGGCATTCCTTTTGGGCCAGGCACAGAGTGAGGAATAGAGGGCAAGACATAAGCCTACTGATCTCAGAGAAATTTCATGCATTAGCCCATAACACTCTAATCATCCTGGGTTATGGAGAAGGTTGAACTACAAAAAAAAAAGACTGCTGTCATTAATCCCAACTCATGGTGGCCACATGAATTACGGAGTAGAACTGCTCTATAGGGTATTCTTGCCTGTAACTTACAGAAGCAGATTACCAGGACTTTCATCCACAGTGCTGCTGTATAGTTTTGAGCCACCAACCTTTATGTTAGTAGTCAAACATAAATTGTTGCACCATCCAACACTTTCAGATTTAAATTCCTGTGATTGATAATTCAAATAATTAAAATTGGTTGGAATGCTAAAATGTTATCAGGAAAGTCATCAGGAGGCATGGTATTGGGATTCTCAGGCACAACCATCTACATGTGCTTGTCAGAGAGCTCTGAGGTTCTCAACAAAGATTCTTGCATTTGGATGCTAACCAAAAGTTTGGTGGTTCAAACCCATGAGCTTCTCTGTGGGACAAAGATAAGGTAGTTGGTTTCCTAAAGATCTACAGCTTTGGAAACCCTATAGGACAATTCTACTCTGTCCTAAAGGGTTGCTATGAGTCAGAATTGACTGAAAGGCAGTGAGTTTGTTTTTTGTGGTTTGCAACACAGCCCAGAAGCACATCTGGCTCATAGGCTGCTGCACAACCAAAACAGGCAAGGGGTATGTAGAATTCTCCATTCCTAACTTACATTCATTCAGCAAATATTTATTAAGCCCTGTGCTAGAGATTTGGTTTTTAACTATCCCCACCCTCACCAAGTTAAGTCTGTTTGAAACTGTACCCTTTTATCACCAATCACAACAAATATTGACCAGTTATAGCACTGATGTTAAAATTCTGAAACAGACTATCGTTCCTTTCCCCTTCAACTAGCCAAACAAAAAGGCATGTTTACACCCACTACTGTGAACCTCACCCCTTAGAAAAGTCTATAAGGGGCACTGAGTACTGAATGCACGACAGCCTTCAAACACTCACTAATAATTTAGCCAACATATCTCAGAATCAGTGTATTCAAAGGGAGCTAATGCTTGCAAAGAACTTTGTAGAGCTAGGCCCTTTGAATACTGTATTTCATTTCATCCTCACAACAACCATATGAGCTAGGTATTGTGATCTCCATTTTCCAGGAGAAGAGACAGATCCAGAGTATTTAGTAACTTCCCTAAGGTTACTCATCTAATAAGTGGTAGAACTAGAATTGAACCACCATCTGTTCTAAAGCCCTTTACCCAAACACCAACCAAACCAAACTCACTGCCATTGGGTCAATTCTGACTCATAGCAGTCCTATAGGACAGAGTTCTACAGAGTAGAACTGCCTCACAGGGTTTTCAAGTCTATAATCTTTACAAAAGCAGACTGCTACATCTATTCCCCACAGAGTGGCTGGTAGGCTCAAACCCACCCAAACTTTCCAATTAGCTAGCATTTTAACCACTGCACCACCAGGGATCTTTCCCTGGTCTTCAATTCCAGACGCACATTGGAATTTCCTGCAAAGACCTGGGTCTCTAGTTCAGAATCACTGCCCACACTATCTAAACGGTGGAACTAAACACTCCTCAAGAACATTCCAAGAGAGTTTCAGTCCTCGTGGAGCTGTGAGGGAAGATGATACCATTGGAAATAGTGAGTAGGTCACACAAGACAATACTCAGATCTAAATTGAAGCCAACAGGTAAGGCTTGATGAAAATGATTCAGAAATCAAGGAAGTATTTGTAGCAAGGTGAGTCAATACTTAACAAACCAAACTTACTGCCATGGTGTCGATTCCAACTCACAGTGACCTTTACTGGGTTTCCAGGGTTATAGATCTTTACGGAATCAGATAGCCTCACCTTTCTTCTGCAGCGGCTGGTGGATTTGAACCACCAACCTTTTGTTTAGCTACCCAGTGCTTTAGCCACAGCTCCACCAGAGCTCCCTTTTTACATGACAAACCCATGCAAATGAAAATGATTCTTCCTGGACTAAGGTTAGTTAAGGAATCTGGCAGAAACCGTCATCACAGCTCAGCATGAATGAAGACCAAGAACTGAGGAGAACCTTGTAAAGTTCCAATTTTAAAGGAAATTGTCTTCATGATAAGCACTATGGGGAAGGGTCATCTGGGCCCAGACTAAGCAAGGTTGAAGGAAGTGATGTTTGACCATTCACCACTGGTGCCTTCATTTTAACTGTTCCCCACACCTGGAATAGGAGCTCTGGTAGCGTAGTGCCTAAGGCACTTGACTGCTAACCCGAAGCCTGGCAGTTCAAACCCATCAGCCACTCCCCAGAAAGAAGGTTGGGCAATCTACTTTCGTAGTGATACTGCCTCTGAGACCCAAGGAGGGGTCACCAGGAGTGGGTTCTGACTCAACCGCACATAACAACAACACCTGAATGCCCTAACCTTCTCCACTCCTCCTTCAGCTCCTCGACATTCAACAATACACAATGAGGGTTACATTAGATCAGAGAGAGAGCAATCAGGCTTTACCGTACGTGATAATTCCAAATTATTGGTAGTAGCTATCTGAAGACTATGTCAAGATTCTGAGACAAAGTCCAAATAGTGATAGGGAGGGCAGAGAAGGATTGAGGAGGGGAGGTTAGAGAGTGAAGGGTGGAAGTAGAGTCCAGGAAAAGCAACACCACCATGACAAACTAAAAGAGAGTGGGGGGAGGAGGGACACAAAGGCCACACAGTTGCTATCTGTAAATTAAATGATTTTAAACAATTCCCTCAAATATTGCACACCACAGTTTCTTCAATGGTAAAAGGTAGATAATCTCAAGCTTATTAAGGGGCATACATGAGATTTTAGATAGATAATCTATAATGTTATATACAGTATGTACCATATATAATATGTATAAACATATAGCCATTTAAAAGCTCCCAGTATGATACCTGACATATGCTCAATAAATGCGCATTCCCTTCTTGTCCTTTCTATAATCTACTCTTCTCTTCCTTCTTGCTGAAGAAGGCTGAGGAATCATTAAAAACAGGAAAAAGTTACATTGAAAGGATACATCCAAAAGGCTGATCATTTCTCTGCAAGTGTTGATGCTGAATCCATCAAATTTTATGTCTCCTCCTAAATATTGAAATAGAAAAAGTGGTGGGAATCCGGATAATGGAAATAATGTCCATGGTATGAGACCAGCAAAGATCCCAGCAAAGATTCAGCTATGGAGCTGAATATGGTCTCCTACTAAATGGAGAGAGCCCTGTGGTGAGTTCATTGGCAGATGCCCCCAAGACCTCCCAGACCCTGGGAGCAGTGGAGTGGTTACCACCTCTGGCATTGGGGACCCATGGTTAACTCTTTTTTCTTTTTCTTTTTTCTTGTATTGTGATTTGGGTGAAGATTTACAGAGCAAATTCACTTTCCATACAGCAGTTCACATATACTTTGTCTCATGTCATTGACCAGTTTACCACAATGCAACAGCTCCCCTCCCACTTCCTCCCCATAGCCATGGTTGACTCTTGGCTTTGCTACTCATGGGATATTGGCAAATTAATACCCCTGACCTTTAGTTTCCTCTTCCAGCAAATGGGAATACTACTACTTGTACCAAAGATGGGTTGGGGATTAAATGAGATAATGTAGGTGAAGTTCTTAGTACAGAGTTAGGGATTAAATTTTTATTAGCTAGGTATTGTTCTAAGCATCTACTCCTCAAAATTCCCCTGCACTGGATACTATCATTATCCTTATTTTATAGATAAGGGAACTGAGGCACCAAGAAATTAAGTAACTTGCTCTACTTCACAAAACCAGTAGGGGGCAGAGCTGGGATTTAAACACAGGCCATCTGACTCCATCCAAACCAAAAAACCAAACTCACTGCTGTCAAGTTGGACCCGACTGATACCGACCCTTCCTTGGGTTTCCGAGGTGGTATCACTACAGAAGTAGATTGCCCAGCCTTCCTTCCAAGGAGTGGCTGGTGGGTTTGAACCACCAGCCTTCTGTTTAGCAGTCAAATGCCTTGGGCACTACGCTACCATAGACTGCTTTTAACTACATGTTGCTGTTGTTGTTAGTTGCTATGGAATAGGCTCTGACTCATGACAACACCATGCATGACAACGAAATGCTGCCCCAGTCTTATGCCATTTTCATTGCTGTGGTTGCTGTATTTTGAGTACCTTCTAGCCCAGGACTCATCTTCTATATCAGATCCACAGAATTTTAACTGGCTAATTTTTGGGAGTAGATCATCAGGTCTTTCTTCCTATTCTTTCTTAGTCTGGAAGTGCCACTGAAACCTGTCTACCATGAGTCACCCCACTGGTCTTTGAAATACTAGTACCATATGTTTCAGCATCACAGCAACACACAAACCACCACAATATGACAAACTGACATACGACCTCTTAAATGGCAGCTTTTATTAGTACTTGCTAAATTACCAAGTGTTGCCTATATGACCATGAGCCCAGAACTAGATGGTACTTGGCTACGACTGTCAACCACTCAGAGGGAGATCAGTGCAGAGGATCCTGGATAGAGTGGGAGAACATTGTGGAACAAACTCAAAATCATAAAAAAAAAGACCAGGTTTTCTGGTCTGATAAAACCTGGTGAGACCCCTGAGACTATGGCCCCTAGCTACCCTTCAGGTCTGGAATTAAACTCAATCTTGTTGGTTCCAGCCAAACAATAAGACAGGAATATGGGGTGAACATTTACATCAAGTAGATACACTACACGGAGCAATCAATCATGGGAGAACAGAAGGGGAGTGTTTGCACAGGAAGACAGCTCTTGGGGCAGTAGTGCAGGGAAGGGAAGGACACAGGGTAGAGGTAACTATGGGGAGGAAGTGTGAAGAGAGCTGTTGCGTTTTCCCCACCATTGCAGTCAAAGTCATGAATAAAATGCATATGAACTGCTATAAGGAAAATGAATTTGCTCTATACACTTTCACTCGAATCACAATAAAAATCTTAAAAAAAATAAAATGAAAAATAAATGACCGAGCATCTCTCAGGAGCTCCAGCCATCCATATCCTCTGTCTTCATCTTCCTCACACGTGGGAGGCAAAGACTCTGCAGCCCTCTCTTCCTGCTCCATGGGCAACTCCTTCTTTGCCAAGAAGAAGGTAGGAGCAAGAGCTGGAGCAGAGAGTGGGAAGGGCAGTCTTGAGCCAGTGTTTGGACCCTGAGCCCTGAGAAGCTGCTCCACTCCATCCCCAAGAGGGGTCCCACTTGGCCATTTGCTGAGAGCTGTTTCCTGCATTTTTATACTAGGTCCTGCTGTAGTGGATGAACTGGAGCCCATCACTTAGCTAGGTGGCACACAGCCTGACCTGTCCCTGGACCAGAAGGGAAACCAGCTCCGTGACAGCTTAGAGGGGGCTGGGCTCAGACAGGGAAGAATAAACCTTTCCTCCTGGGTGGAGTTTAACCCTCTGACAGCCCCCAAGGTTTGCTAAAGTCTGAAGATGAGCCCGAGGGAACTAAGCACAATGTAGGATAGAGTCAGAATCATCCCCTCCACACTCCTTTCCCTGAAGACGCGTGACAAAATAAGACCGTTAATCTAATCTGCACGTCATTTTTCTATAGTACCAAAGTTATTCATTTTATGAAAATATTTCACAAAATATTTATCAAAATATTTCATAAGTCACCCTCAGCCCTGCTTTTTCCTCCCAGGACTCAGCATGTTTTGTTTGACAACACAGAGGCCCATTCCTATGGGTCTCAATTCCAGGCTGGCCTGTCAGCATCACCCTTTGCTGCCCTGGCCCAGCACCTCCTCCTCTCCAGCTTCCCCTGAATCTCAGCTCTGCTCTTGCCATTCCAAGATCCCTTTTCCCCATGTAAGGTGCTTTTGTCCCTTTGACTCTGGGCAAAGCCTGCCTCTATTCTGACCCCAGCATCTCTCAGGTTACAGATTTTCTGAAAGGCCTTAAGGGGGAACTTACGTTTGGAAAACACCCCATCCAGAACAGTCTTGAGCTCACTGGCACTGATCTCTGAGTCCTAGAAAGAGGAACTAGATAGAAGTCATGTCAATTCCTGACAAGCATTTCAAGACATCAAATTAATGTGGAGCTTCTGTAGTCAGAAACCAGATCCATGGACATTGTGACTGTAATAAAACATAGTGTTTTATCTTTAATAACTCAGATTTCCCTTTCCTCTGGGGTCCCTGACACTCTGGCTGGAGGCCCATGTTGATGGCATGAGCACCATATCCACTGCAGCTGAAGACTGCCACACCAGAGCCTTGATCCCCTACACGGCACTTGCTTAAATAGAGAACAAAATTGGGCAAGTCATAATAATAGGAGCTAACACTTATGTAGGAGCTCTGGTGGCATAGTTCCTAAGGCATTTGACTGCTAACCAGAAGGCTGGCGGTACAAACCCACTAGCCACTCCTCGGAAAGAAGACTGCACAATCTACTTCCGTAGTGATACCATCTCGGAAAACCAAGGTGGGGTTGCTATGAGTCAGATTTGACTCGATGGCAGTGAGTTTGGATTGGTTTTGGTTTAGCACTAATGTACCACCCATCCTATATGAATGACCCTTAAATCCTCAAAGCAACTCAACATCCATTTTAGGGTTAATGACACCGTGATTTTGTAAACTACTAAGCCCCATGAACATACTAAAACCACACCAAATCCATGCTGTCAAGTTGATGCCAACTCACAGTAAGCCTATAGGATAGAGTAGAACTGTCCATAGAGATTTCAATGCTGTAAATCTTTTTGGAAGCAGAGTGTCACATCTTTCCCCTACAGAGCAGCTGGTAGGTTCTAACTGCAGTCATTAAAAAAATAAAGTAAAATATAAATGGTTTGGTTAGCACCTGAGCACTTTTAACTACTGCACCACCAAAACCAAAAAAAAAACAAACTCACTGCCATCGAGTTAGACCTGACTCATAGCAACCCCTCCTTGAGTTTCCAAGGTGGTATCACTATGGAAGTAGATTGCCCAATCTTCCTTCCAAGGAGTGGCTGGTGGGTTTGAACCACCAGCCTTCTGGCAGGGAAAATATAATTGATCATTTTTCACATGTGTTCAAATGGCTTAGGATTCACAGCTACCAAGTGACAGAGGTGGGATTCTCACCTTAAGATGATCTTACCCCAAAAGCACCAGTCTTCCCCACTGTACCACATTTCTGTCTCTGGGAATTGCTATTTCATGCAGTAGCCTACTTAACTAGGAGCAGAGATTTAGGGGAATAGAATTCCCCATGTTTATTTGGGGTGAATACTGAGACAGAGGGAAGATATATCCCGTAACTCAGATGGAGGACTGACCTTAGGTAGGATGAAGAACAAGGTACAGAGAAGGGGCACCAGCCCAAATATGGCTTCCAATGTTGACTCCACCCCCTTACTTGCTATATGACCTTAGCAAAGTTACTTCCCCTCTTGAAGTGTGATTTTACCATTTATATCCAGGGCTGTCCCACTCCTCCCCATGTTCATGAGTTCATCCTCATCCTCCACAAGCCACAGAAGACAAAAACCATTTGCTGTTGAGTCCATCCTGACTCACGGCAACCCACATACATCAGAGTAGAATGGAGTTCCACAAGGTTTTCAATGGGTGATTTTTCAGAAGTAGATCTCCAGGCCTTTCCTCCAAGATGCCTCTAGGTGGACTTGAACCTCCAACCTTTTAGTTAGTAGCCAAGTTTGTTAACCATTTGTTCCACCCAGAGATTCCTGGGATGGCAGCTGACTTCATTCAGCCACAGAGTAGTCAGCCTCTATAGACCTGAGAAAGTCCCTGGTGTTCCAAATGGTTTGTGCTCGATTCCTAATAAAGTTGGCAGTTCAAACCCACCCAGTGGGGCTACAGAAGAAAGTTCTGGTGATCTGCTTCCATAAAGATTACAGCCAAGAAAATCCTATGGAGCAGTTCTACTCTGTAACATATGGGGTCACCATGAGTTGGAATTGACTCGAAAGCAAAGGGTTTGTTTTTTAAAATAAATATATATATAACTTGGAAAAGCTACCTAGCCAAGAAAGAACATGGCCCCATTAGCCTGCCAGGAAAGATGGGATGTTGGAGAGTCTGTGTTCAAACCTTGGCCCTGTCCCTCCTTCTCCTGCCTGTGCCAGTCACTTCACTCACAGGGATGGGAGAGTGACAGATACTGCCACACACAGCAGTAGAGAAAAGAAAGGTAAGTTACAAGAGGAACTATACAAATTTTTTTTAAAAAAAAATGTTCTTGATGTTCTTAGGAAAATATAGCCTCTTGGCAGCTAAGGCAAACAGGTTTTGTTAGTGAAAAACTAGTCGGATCATCCACCTAAAATACAAATTGGCTCCTTTTTGCAAGGGTTTCTTCAATGGTTCTGCAAAGGAACTGTACTCCCAGATCCTCCTTCCTGCAGAAAATTCTGATATATTTCCTTATTCCATTCTCTAGTCTAGAAATTCACCCAGAGCTTCCCTGGGGGTGGCAAGCCTTGTTTCTCCCCTTCCAAGGCCCATTGGCACAACTTATTACCCACAGAAGAGCAATACATTTACTGTCTTTATGGGACTGGTTGTGACGCCTCTGGTCCCAGGGCCACTCTAACTTGCTTCATGGCCTCCACGGGACTAGAATCACAATGAGCTTATGCTGCAGGGAGAGGAGGAAAGGAGCAGTGGGCTCTGGTGGCTGCTTTCCCCAGCTTGGTGATCCCCCTGAGTTGTGCTGGGGGTCTAGCCAAGCTTGAATTTAGAAGTAGAGAGCTATTGGTCTCCCCTGGGGCAGGAGAGTGAGCTGGACTATAGCTCTGAACATCAATTCCAGGTCCGGTTAACTGAGCCACTTCCCAGCCCAGCAGGCAATCCCTCCCACCTCTGAAGGTATTGATCTGGAGAGGTTTTGCTGCCCTGGCTGTTTAGGTAGAGGCCCTGAGCTGACAGGGCCAATTTACAAACAGAGAACCTTCTGGCAGGACCTGTAGATTCGGATTTCCTGTTTTCTCAAGAGTCAGACAATGTGGCAAGAAGAGGGACCCAGGACTAGATTATTCTCCCCTAATTGTGCAGGAAAGGCCCTCGGTAGTGAAGACAGGATGCAGTAACAGACAGAGTCTGAAGTCACTGAGATCTGCAGCCTCACTCATTTCACTCACGGGTACTTACAGAAAGAAAGACCGAAGGACCTATGCACTCTGACCATCTGTCTGCCCACCTGGGAATGTATGTTTGCCCACCACTCACCTGCCCTGACAGCTTCTCAAACAGGCTCTTGAACTGGTTGTCTTCTTGCTCCACCTCACTGGGGTGTGGCTAAAATGAAGGACAATTGCAAAGTTAAAAGGGGAATCATTAAGGAGGTTGAAAGACTGAGATTTAACTTTCATTCATTCATCCACTAATATCTATACAGCACCCACCAGGCGCCAGGCATTGGGCTGAGAGGAGGGACATGAAGGAAAGAAAGACAGACATATATAAGGTCGTTCCCCTGGGAAGTTTAAGTCCATCAGGGAAGCAGTACTGGCTTCCTCTCCCATTTATGTGAGGAAATGATTCCCAACAATCCTCAGCTTTGGGGACTCAGGTGAATTACCTGCAGAGAAAGGCAGAAAAACTTACTGCAGGGCATCTTGACCTGGGTATTTGAACTCCAGAAATGACATGAAAATTTTTTCATGTTTTTACAGTGTTTATACGTATTGTCTTAGCCTTTCATCAGATGCTCAAAGAGCAGCGTGGCAAAAAGTAATTAAGAGCACAGCCTAGAAGAAATAGCACAATGAGGAGACAGAAGACCAGAGCTCAAGGACCAGACTGAACACTTACTAGATACTGTTTCAGGGCTCTGAGCATTTAGTTCTTCAACCCAAAACATAAATTACCAAGGCCTGTTTCACAAGGTCATTTTGAGAATCAAATGAGAGCTGATGTGTGTCAAAGTCCTTTGGAAATTATCAACCAGTATGTGAATGATTCTGTCCAAAGACTCTGATGTGACAATAAGCTCCATCCAAAATAAAATGATGCCCCCCAAAAAACTTTACCACTAGACATAATGGGGGAGCTCTGGTAGCATAGTGGCTAAGACACTTGCCTGCTAACCAGACGGCTGGCGGTTCAAACCCACCAGCCACTCCTCAGAAGGAAGGTTGGGCAATCCTACTTCCGTAGTGATACTGCCTCGGAAACCCAAGGAGGAGTCGCTATGAGTCGGGTTTGACTCGACGGCACATAACAACAACAACAGACATAATGGGAGAAATTATATGTGTCCCAGATATCTCAAATGGGTTCCAGAGAGCCAGGTCAATATCTTCTAAAATGGTCACTCAGAAAAGTACAAAACATCCAATATGGCCTTACTATTGACTATCTACTAATAAGAGTAGCAATAGTAGTAATAACACTTAAATTATTGCATAGTTAATATCTGTCAGATACTTTACATGCATTACTTCATTGAATACTCACAACCACCCTATGAAGTTGGTCGCATTACTACCCACATGCCCCAGGTGGAGAAACTGACATTTCAAATGTGATATAATAGGCTGAGATCATACAGCTAGTAAACGGTAGAGCCAGGCTTCAAATCCTACCTTCTTCTACTGTGATAATGAGAACAGATACTCTCTGAATCCTACTTCTACACTCAACCTGTCAGACAGAGACTCTGTTTCCTCATCTGTAACATGAGGATATTGTGCTTACTGTATTTGTTTACCTCAAAGATGAGCATATCCCAAAATAAATCTAAATTTTCAGGAGAAAAATGATAACCACTTCTCATCACACATATATAACTTTCAAGTAGTTTTTTAAGAAAAAAAAATTTCTTCAAGTAATATATTCTGCAATTTAGTGAGAAGTTCATAAATTCTGGGCATGGAGTAATATATTATTCCTATGGTGGGAAAAAAAATGCTTAACATTACATAGCAGAGAAGAAAAGAAAACGTATATGGATATTAACAAATACTGGGGTTAAGCATACAGCTGCTAACCATAAGTTTGGCAGTTCAAACCCACCCAGCTGCTCCATGGGAGAAAGACCTGGCTATTGGTTTCCATAAAGATTACAGCCTAGAAAACTTTGTGGGTTTTCTACTCTGTCACTTGAGGTCTCTTTGAATCACAGTTGGTGACACTCAACAACAACAACAACAAATTCTGGTACACAGCAGACACTCCACCATAATGGAGTATCATCAGAGACAGGGCAATTTTTGGATACCAGGGAGTGAGGGAAAATGCAGTTACACGACAGTAAATACCATATACATCACCATTTGTTCATTTACTCCTTCATTCAAATATATATATATATATATATATATATATATATATATATATTTACTGAACACCTGGCACATATTGGAAATTGTTTTGTCTGTGCTTGAAATACAATGGAAAACAAGAGATTGCCAAGGAAATTATTACTGTGGAGTAATCTATTGTTCTGAGAAAATGTATGTGAAATGCTTTGTAAATAGTAAGGCAGTGTTCTGGTTATCTAGTGCCGCTCTAACAGGAATATACCACAAATGGGATGCCCTTAATAAACAGGAGTTTATTCTTACAATTTGGAGGCTTTATGTCCAAGTTCAAAGTGCCAGGCACTAGGAGCTGGGTGAAAGCCCCTCAACCTTGGGGTCCAGCTCTGCC